TCTTAAACTAAGGGGTTGAGTCGAGTAGGAAATATTTCTGGATAAAGGTAAAACATTCTAATTATTATAAACTCTACAAAGAGTTTAAATCGGTGGACTAACCTAAAGTTTAGGAACCCATCGTTCAAGATGCCTATGATTTTCTATCGTGCTGGGTGCGTTTGTATCATTGAACTATGAAATAATCATATAACAAAAAATCTCTACTTAGCACCATAAAAATGACAAATGGAGGTTTTTTTAGCTAAAAATCGTTAGCGGTGCCTTCGTCAGTACCAATGAGTTACTTCTTCTTAGGGCTCCTACATAGTTTCTGGAAATAAGGCTATTTATTTTATATTTTAATTCTTAGTACTAGTTATGAGTATCTAATAAACTAACATAGGTTTTTAGACTGGACTAATCTAGGGTTTGTGTGACTCTCTGTTTTTCTTCTACTTTGGCTAACCCAGGGTTTCAAAGCTAATCTACCTAGATTTGGTTTTCATGATTTAGAGTTGGTGAATTTTAATTTTTTTTTTGGAGTTTGATACTTAATTTGTGATTTAGTTTGATTCCTAGTTTATTGGTCTTGGTGAAATCAAGGCTCTTTTAAGTTAAAAGTTTTGTATTTTTAGTTTTCTATTTGACCTCCTCCATTTAGTTTTATCTTTAGGTTTGGTTCTCAGTTTTTGAAGTTCTATATCGCTTGCAAGCTTACATGATTCAATTTCCTCTAATGTTTCAAATGACTTAAGGATTTTAAGTTGTTTAAGTTTTAAAGAGTTTTATTTTGGAAGTTTTAAATCCTTTTAAGTTATTTTAACATATTATTTAAGTGTTTAAGTGATCTTGGGTTAAATTTAAATATTCAATTTATCTTAAATTATTTAGTTAAGTGTTAAGGTTATCTTATTTGATTTAATTTTTTTATTATTATCTTTCATTTTTGGTTTACTTAATTAATGTGTTTTGATTTAAGTTTTTAAGCTCTTTAGTTTAAGTGTTTAAGTTATGTGGTTTATCTATTTAAATGTATTTAGTTTAGGTGTTTTAAAGTTTTTAAAGTGTTTGGTTTAAATGTTTAAGTTATTTTAAAAGAGTCTTAAAATTATTTTTAAGTTTTTATTAAATTATTTAAGGAAAACTATCATTATTCTTAAGTGGTCTTAAAATGTTTTTAAGTAATTAATATTTAAAACTATTCTTAATTTTTTTTAATTATTTTAATTGTTTTAATTTTTTTTTGAATTATTTTAATTTATTTTTAAGTCAATTTTCAATTAGTTGTTAAGTTAGCTTTAAATCATGTTCTTTTTGAATTAGTTTTAAATTAGTCCTAAATTATTTTGAATTATTATTTATTTATTATTTAAATTATCTTGAAGTTATTTAAATCATTTTTTAAGTTAGTTTTAAGTGATTTAAGTTACTCTTAAGTTGTTTTAAATCACTTAAAGATTTTGAACTAAATAGATAAATGACACACATTTATTAAAATGTTTACAATGAGAATCAACATGTGAGAAGTTCTCCTCCTCCTTTTTTTATTTTATTTGCATGTATTTGACATATGGAAAGAACTATTCATGATATTTGAAGAATGTGAAATATGATATACGCATGGGCTGAACTACATATGAAATAGGAATTAAACTAGGCAGTACATTAAACATGAATTAAACTAGACTACAAATAAAATAGGATTAAACTGCTACACATGGAGTAAGGAATGAAGTTAAATTAGATTAGGCTCAAGTTAGGTTAGACTTGGGCTCAGGGTGAACTAAGATTACTCTCGGTTGAGCAAGATTAAGATAGGGCCAGTTTGGTTGAGCAAGTTTAAGTTGTGTTGAGCTATGGTGAGCTATGTTCAGTTAGAGTTTGGCTATGTTGGACTAGTTTGGGCTAGGTTTGAGCTTGGTTGGGCTAGATTAAGCTAGGTTGGGCTAAGGCTAGGCTAGGGTGATGTATGTTGGGCTAACTTGGGCTAGGTCATGCTAGGTTTTAGGCTAGGGCTAGGTTTGGTTTGTGTTAGGTTGGGTCCAAACTAAGTCAGGTACAAGATAAGTATGGGCTCGAATGGGTTCAGGCTAGGTTGAGTTTTGTCCAGGTTGAGTACGAGCTAGGTTGGATCTCGACTAGGTTGTGTCTGGACTAGGTTGGGTCCGCGCTAGGTTGGGTTTGACCTTAGTTGGGACTTGTCAGGTTGGGTTAATGCTAAGTTGGGTTTAGGCTAATTCGAGTCTGACATGAACCCGAGTCTAACCTAATTATTTTATTTAATTAATTTTTTTCAAAACAAAATAAAAGGAAAATATAACAAAACTAAGTTATAAAAATTAAGAATAAAATAAACGTATCAGACGAAGGAAGGAAAAGTTGATCGGAGGATGAGGGAAACATCGCCCATCGGAGAGGAGGAAGGAGTAAGCATGCCTGTATTGTGGAGTGCAGCGAGCTATTTATTGGTGGCTGGAACGAAGGGATCAATGGATAGAACAATTGCTGCCACTAATCGACCTCGTGAACGTCAATTAGGGCAGAGATCGATGGTCATGTTTCTATATACGGTTGGAGCTCCCTGAGTCGCAAATGGAGCTATCACAGATCTGTTGGTTCCAATTTACTGGATCGCTAAAGGACAAATCGAAAAATGAGATTGGACTTTTGGGAATTCTCTTTTTATTATTTTGAAGGAGTGAAAAAATACAAGTCTAGGTGTTTTACAATGCAACACAACACCTAATTTTATACTAACTAAGACATACCGAAACAAAACAGGAAACGTACATAATAAAGGCAAGAAAATTAAGTGTCATCAATTCGCGCCTATTTGAATTGATTACACATATTTGAATTTTGAATTTGAATTTAAGATTCAAATTCAAAATTAATGATATTGCCATATCTCCTATATTTAATTCAAAATTAATGCTATGATCATATCTTCTATATTTGTTCCACTAATTAACTCATGCCTATTATGAAGCCACTAATTATGCAATCAATTCAAATTACCAATTCAAGATTAGTCTCACAGTCAAAAATGTGTCTTATTGTCTTCTTAATGATTAATTTAACTAGAAAAGGAGATTTAAATTTATCTCAGACAAAACATTTAGTTAGCTATTACCTTTACTTGTTTGGTGTCATCTTATTGTTGTAGCTATTCTTGCAGTCCTTCTATAGACATAGATCAATAAAGTTTTGCTTGAGTGTAGGCCGAAAAAAGAGCCCAATCATGACTATTCTTATGGGAGTGCTTTCTGGATCTCTTGCATTGATCATTCTATTTACAATCCTTCTTATTGTTACGGGAAAGATGAGGAGAAGGTTGCCAATACCGCCATTGATTATCTCAAGCCTTCCACTATCGGCAAGCAGTAGAAACTTGACCTTTTTCATGTGATTTTCTTACTCAATCAAGCAGATCATTGTTTTACAGGGAATAGCCAAGATTCTTTAACGAATATTGAATCCTCATTAATTGATCTGGATGCAATCAGAATTGCGACAATGGATTTTTCAGAAGAAAACAAGCTTGGAGAAGGCGGATTTGGAGTTGTTTACAAGGTGCAATTCTTTGTTCGATTTGCTTTGCTTTATTCAGTCAATCTCTTGATGCAGTTTGAGTACACTTACAAGTTTACGCTTACTGCCTTCAATCTGAACAGGGTGTGCTTGAAGATGGGCTAGAAATAGCAGTGAAGAGGCTATCGGTAACATCAAAGCAGGGATTAAAACAACTGAGAAATGAGGTGGATTTAATGGCTAAGCTTCAGCATAAAAACCTTGTTAAATTGTTAGGTTGTTGCCTGAAAGACGAGGAGAAGCTGCTTGTTTATGAATTCCTGCCTAACAAAAGCCTTGACAAGTACTTATCCGGTATTCTTATTTTCTGAAATCTTTAGATTTCAATAATTCCTTTAATTCTTTTGTCATGGTATTGATGGATTTATGAAAGACAATTAAAAGATTCCGTTAGGCGCCAGCAACTAGAATGGGGAACACGGTACAGAATCATTGAAGGCATTGGTAGGGGGCTTCTTCATCTCCATGAAAATCCAGGTTTCAGAATCATTCATCGTGATCTGAAAGCTAGCAATATCTTACTAGATATCAACCTGGAACCGAAAATTTCAGACTTTGGCATCGCAAAGCTCTTCAAAATGGATCAAACCAGAGGAATAACAAGCCAAGTTGTCGGCACATTGTATGTAGATTTCTTCTTTGTCCAAATTTTGAGTTAGCTATCCCTACTCCTCGCTTAATATATTGTTTTCTTATTGGTATCATTTACAGTGGATACATGTCACCAGAGTATGCTTTACATGGGAACTTCTCCACTAAATCCGATGTGTATAGTTTTGGTGTGCTGGTATTCGAGATCCTTGCTGGCTGTTGCAATAGTACTGTGGTTGCTTCAGGGACTCCCTTAGACTTACTTAGCCATGTAAGGACTTTAAAGTAATTTTTTTGTTATTTAAATTTCGAAATTCTGAGAAGATGACTCCAAATAATCAATTCTTGAGCAGGTTTGGCATTGTTGGAATAAAGGTATGGCGCTGAAAATCATTGATCAAATCCTAGTAGATAGGTATTCTTCGAATGAAGCATTGAGATGCATCCACATTGCACTGCTGTGCATCCAGGAAGATCCAGCTCTGAGACCAAGCATGTCTTCACTGCTAGCCATGCTCACCACTAGCACTGTTGCTCTGCCTGATCCCCTGATGCCTACATTTTTAAAGCAAGTGGAAGTTTGATTTCCTATTCGTCAGATGGTTCTTTTGTTTCAGCCGAGTAATGATTTGAGCTTCTCATTTAGGGATTTTGTTAATTAAATTTAATTTTGACATCAAAAAATTAATTTTTTGATCAAGGAGTTCCAAGGGATTTAGCATGGCCATTGAAAAAATATATATATTTTTTCAATGGCCATGCTAAATCCCTTGGAACTCCTTGATCAAAAAATTAATTTTTTGATGTCAAAATTAAATTTAATTAACAAAATCCCTAAATGAGAAGCTCAAATCATTACTCGGCTGAAACAAAAGAACCATCTGACGAATAGGAAATCAAACTTCCACTTGCTTTAAAAATGTAGGCATCAGGGGATCAGGCAGAGCAACAGTGCTAGTGGTGAGCATGGCTAGCAGTGAAGACATGCTTGGTCTCAGAGCTGGATCTTCCTGGATGCACAGCAGTGCAATGTGGATGCATCTCAATGCTTCATTCGAAGAATACCTATCTACTAGGATTTGATCAATGATTTTCAGCGCCATACCTTTATTCCAACAATGCCAAACCTGCTCAAGAATTGATTATTTGGAGTCATCTTCTCAGAATTTCGAAATTTAAATAACAAAAAAATTACTTTAAAGTCCTTACATGGCTAAGTAAGTCTAAGGGAGTCCCTGAAGCAACCACAGTACTATTGCAACAGCCAGCAAGGATCTCGAATACCAGCACACCAAAACTATACACATCGGATTTAGTGGAGAAGTTCCCATGTAAAGCATACTCTGGTGACATGTATCCACTGTAAATGATACCAATAAGAAAACAATATATTAAGCGAGGAGTAGGGATAGCTAACTCAAAATTTGGACAAAGAAGAAATCTACATACAATGTGCCGACAACTTGGCTTGTTATTCCTCTGGTTTGATCCATTTTGAAGAGCTTTGCGATGCCAAAGTCTGAAATTTTCGGTTCCAGGTTGATATCTAGTAAGATATTGCTAGCTTTCAGATCACGATGAATGATTCTGAAACCTGGATTTTCATGGAGATGAAGAAGCCCCCTACCAATGCCTTCAATGATTCTGTACCGTGTTCCCCATTCTAGTTGCTGGCGCCTAACGGAATCTTTTAATTGTCTTTCATAAATCCATCAATACCATGACAAAAGAATTAAAGGAATTATTGAAATCTAAAGATTTCAGAAAATAAGAATACCGGATAAGTACTTGTCAAGGCTTTTGTTAGGCAGGAATTCATAAACAAGCAGCTTCTCCTCGTCTTTCAGGCAACAACCTAACAATTTAACAAGGTTTTTATGCTGAAGCTTAGCCATTAAATCCACCTCATTTCTCAGTTGTTTTAATCCCTGCTTTGATGTTACCGATAGCCTCTTCACTGCTATTTCTAGCCCATCTTCAAGCACACCCTGTTCAGATTGAAGGCAGTAAGCGTAAACTTGTAAGTGTACTCAAACTGCATCAAGAGATTGACTGAATAAAGCAAAGCAAATCGAACAAAGAATTGCACCTTGTAAACAACTCCAAATCCGCCTTCTCCAAGCTTGTTTTCTTCTGAAAAATCCATTGTCGCAATTCTGATTGCATCCAGATCAATTAATGAGGATTCAATATTCGTTAAAGAATCTTGGCTATTCCCTGTAAAACAATGATCTGCTTGATTGAGTAAGAAAATCACATGAAAAAGGTCAAGTTTCTTACTGCTTGCCGATAGTGGAAGGCTTGAGATAATCAATGGCGGTATTGGCAACCTTCTCCTCATCTTTCCCGTAACAATAAGAAGGATTGTAAATAGAATGATCAATGCAAGAGATCCAGAAAGCACTCCCATAAGAATAGTCATGATTGGGCTCTTTTTTCGGCCTACACTCAAGCAAAACTTTATTGATCTATGTCTATAGAAGGACTGCAAGAATAGCTACAACAATAAGATGACACCAAACAAGTAAAGGTAATAGCTAACTAAATGTTTTGTCTGAGATAAATTTAAATCTCCTTTTCTAGTTAAATTAATCATTAAGAAGACAATAAGACACATTTTTGACTGTGAGACTAATCTTGAATTGGTAATTTGAATTGATTGCATAATTAGTGGCTTCATAATAGACATGAGTTAATTAGTGGAACAAATATAGAAGATATGATCATAGCATTAATTTTGAATTAAATATAGGAGATATGGCAATATCATTAATTTTGAATTTGAATCTTAAATTCAAATTCAAAATTCAAATATGTGTAATCAATTCAAATAGGCGCGAATTGATGACACTTAATTTTCTTGCCTTTATTATGTACGTTTCCTGTTTTGTTTCGGTATGTCTTAGTTAGAGTTACTTATTTCCCATCGAACCATGAAGAACCACAGTCCCATGCAAACTTGAAAATATCCATTGTTAATAGAAGGAAAAAAAAATCTGAATTTTCAGTCAATGCTGAAGAGATTCCAATGTATCTTTGCATGTAATTAATATATGAAATAAGTATGGCCACATGACAATCTCTCTGTATCAAAACTAAGCCAAAAGCGTGGGTTAATTTGAAAATTCATTAAAAAATAAAAATATTAAAGAAAATAATTTGAAAAATCTTATTGATAATTATTGACATGAAATGAATTCGGATATCTAGTAGGAATTCTTTTTCAGTTCTTTGGCAACTTTTGACAAGCATGTAAAGACCTTATAAGATCGATGGAATTATTCAACCAGGACGCTAAAAAAACAGTTGGAAGCTATAAGAATCTCAAATTATTATTTAATTGAACTAGGATATTAGTATAAATAAGGTCAAGATTTATTATAAGAATTAATAGTATAAGTAGTTGTCATATGATAACTTAATATGATAATAATATAATTCTAATAACTTCATGCATCCAGAGTTTGCCAATCCAAAAAAAAGAGAGGAATTGCATGCATACCAAACAAATCTTATGTCTGATACTCAAACTTCAGTTTATACATGAATATTGCTTGTAGGAGATCTTAATCTATGTAATCTATGAATATTGTGTTGGTTCCAATTTAATGGATCGCTAAAGGACAAATCGAAAAATGAGATTGGACTTTTGGGAATTCTCTTTTTATTATTTTGAAGGAGTGAAAAAATACAAGTCTAGGTGTTTTACAATGCAACACAACACCTAATTTTATACTAACTAAGACATACCGAAACAAAACAGGAAACGTACATAATAAAGGCAAGAAAATTAAGTGTCATCAATTCGCGCCTATTTGAATTGATTACACATATTTGAATTTTGAATTTGAATTTAAGATTCAAATTCAAAATTAATGATATTGCCATATCTCCTATATTTAATTCAAAATTAATGCTATGATCATATCTTCTATATTTGTTCCACTAATTAACTCATGCATATTATGAAGCCACTAATTATGCAATCAATTCAAATTACCAATTCAAGATTAGTCTCACAAGATCTTCAACTATGAAACAACACTTCGACTGGCTGGAATCGAGTGGAAAAGGCCACGAATTGCCGACAGTGCGGGTGCGTCAGCCAGTGGCACGGGGGTAGAATTGGGGAGGTGGAGGGGACACAGGCTTGCCACTCTGAAGCGCGCCCACACTGGTTACTTTTGTAGCGCTCCGCGCCTCATTGGTGTGGGCACGCTGCATTGGCGCTGGGGCACCATTCCCATAACCAAGCACGGTTACGCTTGAATGGCGGCGCAGGGGTACCACTGTTTATTGAAGTATTAATGCAGTGTTATTGATGTGCTATTGACGTGCTGTTGATGTGTTATTTGAGTGTTATTGATGTGTTATTATGATGTTATTGATGTGTTATTCGGTACATCAATGACACTCGAATAACACATCAATAACACCGTAATAACACATCAATAACACCGCAATAATACATCAATAAGATTGTGGTGTTATTTATGTCATTCAGGTATATATGTGATATATTTATTTGTTTTAAGTAACAAACTAATAGCAATATATTATTATTAATAATTTATTATGTATTATAATTTATAGGATTTAATTATTTAAAATATGATGATATTGTTATTTAAATTATTTTAATTAATTATAATTTATCATATTTAATTTTATGATTATGGATTATAAAGTTTCAAATGTTTATTTCATATACAGATCAGATCTCAGATAATAAATAGCTTTAGGTAACTTGCAGTGTTATTAATGTGTTATTCAAGTGTTATTACGTTATTATTCGAGTGTTACTTGAGCTAATTCATTTTGTCGGCAGTATTATTGCGGAGTTATTGTAGTGTTATCACAGTGTTATTACTGACGAAAACACCAAAATAACATAGCTGCAACAAATAATATGTTGTTCGTCGAAACATCGAGCTTGTTCGGGTCGGGTAAGACAAAAATATTAGGCAATATATACGTAATATATTTATTTAAGTAATAGGCTAATAGTAATATATTATTGTTGATAATTTAATATATATTATTATTTTATAGGTTTTCGTTTTTTTAAATATGATAATTTAGTTATTTTAATCATAATTTATCATATTTAATTTTATGAATTTATATTATAATATTTACGAAGGATTTGTCGTAATTAAAAAATGCCAAAGGTGGGTTCGGGGCGGGCCGTAAGGCTCATTTTTATTTTTTAACCGCTGCGGCCATTGGCCAACCGAGCGGCAATGCTCGCTACATCACCTTCTCTGGACCGAAACCTTAGGACATACCCCTCTCCCCGTCGCAACCCACGAAACAATCGCCTACTTCACTCCACCTCTCGGCCCGAAACCTTCGCCCAAGTTCTTCCCCTCTCCCGGTTTCACTCAAATCCATCGCCTTCCTGCCCAAACCCTTAAGGCATACTCGCGATTGGAGCTAGCTAGGAGACAACGAGCTACATCGCGGCGTATAGAGAACCGAAACTCTTCTCTTTCTTCTCCTTCCGATCCGCTACCACCCGAAACCATTGTGAAAGGTAAGCTTGTTCGCACCATAGAGGAGAAGGTAAACCAAAGCTATATCTTTCTCTGAAAATCTCTGGTTTTAGATTGTCGAGGTTCTCTGATTTTAAGAGTTTAATCAAGTTGCAGACGTCTTTCTGAAACTTTTTGAACGATTAACATACATACCACTTAATTACTGAGTATTTTCATATCTAACGCCTATACTGCTATTTTTTTTTACTTTATATGTCATTTTACCAAAGTATGAAAAGCTGCACCAATTTTTAAAAGTAAAAATCGTGATATTTCTGATGCGATATGAATGATTTAGGTGGTATAAATGTAAACAAAAATCAAAATGTAGGTGCTGGATATGTAAATACATATGAATTAGGTGGTATGTATGTAAATTCCTCTTTTTTTTTATTTGGTGGTGTTGTAGATCTCTGTATGTGCTTTTAAATATTAGTCTTCAAGCTCATAGGTAGGGAAGGCTGAGCTTTATCAGGCCTTTCCATTCCAATCAATCAATCTAAATTGGAGAAAAGTCCAAAGTTTATAGAAATTTACCCCCAATGGATTTAATCTCATTACTTGAAAAAAAAAAATGCATTTTTCACCATCTTATCACTTTATTTCTCCTCAATCTCACAATCTTGAGCTGTTAAAATCCAACGCTTCTGCAGTTGCATGAGAAAGTCCACAAGCAAGAGCAACCACGGGATCATCTTGCCTCACAAAGGTATGCTTCAGTAATATCTTTGGTTTTTTAAATTTCTTTCTCACGTTTGTTAGCCGTAGGACTTATATTGAATTGAAGAATTTTATCTAAAGTTCATGTTAACGCATTCTTATGGTTAGGACTGATGCATGATGGATATGTGTATGTTCGGGTCACATTAAAATTTATACAACAAGTCTTATAATATGTATTCAGATTAACTCTCTTGCAAGTGTTGTAATAATTTGCATACAATGTTCTGGTTAGATATATATGCAGAACTCAACCAAGTGTTTGTCATGAATCTGAAGCGTTTATAATTTCATATATTAAAACATTCAGCTATATTTGGATATTTAAATACTTGCTTCAAATACACCTTCTTCACTAATTGATATAAGCCTAAGTAAATTATAATATTTGTGCGTTGTAAGACTTCAAATATGTTTTGTGTGAACTCCGGTTTGCTTCTTTATGATCGCATCAAAGCAGATTATAGACAAATGTTTGGATTTGGAATGTTTCTTCAACTTGACCCAATTTTTAAGAGGCAAAAGCTGAATTTTAGGTTTTACTGATATAAATCTCCGAAAATGTTAACTCTGCCATTTGATTTTGCTTGAATGGCTTTCCAACCTTGGATGCAGATATGGATGCAGCTTATGTGAGGTTTGAGGTATAGTATGTGTTTAATTTGTTTCATTTTGATGGCTTATAATTTATTGTGAATTGATTTTCTTCAAAATTTGATGGTCCAAATTGGTACATAAGTAACAGTTGGTTTCTTGATGAAATGACATGTGATGATTTTGCAAAACTTTGCTTGTATTGTTTAAGCATGATATGCTCTAGATTGTCATCCAACAACTGATACTATAAATATAGATTCTCCTTTATAAGGAGATTTTTTGTTTTGGAAGATTTATATGCATACCACCCAATTATTATCTATCTAAATATCTAAAAACTATACGTCAATTTTTACATACGTACCACCTTACCTATGCATGAGAAGTTGTATTTAAACCTTTAAAAATTAAATTGGTGGGATTTTTGATTCGGTATGAAAGATTTGAGTGGTGGTAATGTGAAAAGTAAAGTTTAGATGTTGTGAATACAACAACAACAACAACAACAAGCCTTTATCCCACTAAGTGGGGTCGGCCACATGAATCCTTCTTCTTCTTTGCGTTGTGAATACATTAGAATTTAATGGCATGTTTGTAATTGCCTTATCTAAGCCTTTTATTAGTTTGTTGCAACTTTACTCAACAAACTCTCTCACAACCCGTGTCAATTTCAGCTCTTATGAAGTTCCAAAACCCAACGTCAAACTTGCTAAAAATCTGCTCCGTTTCAACCATCTATAAAGCCCCAAAACTCACTCAAAATCTGCTCCGTTTCAACCATCTATACAGCCCCAAAACTCACTCAAAACCTGCTCCGTTTCAGCCACCTAAATAGCCCCCAAACTCAATTGAATCCTGCCACATTTCAGCACCTAAACAGCCCCCAAGCAAACCTTCAAACCTGCTTGTAGTCGCTGAAAGCTCGTGTGATTTCAACCCTTAAGCACTAGTTGAAGCTCACATAATATTTGCCCGAATTCGACACACAACCATTTCTTAAACTTCTCTCAAAATCTACTTGTATTTGTTGAAGTCCTATGGATTTACAAACCTACCGTGTAATTCTTATGGATTCACATGCTTAACACTTAAATATGCAAACTTACAGATCCACAGTGTAATATTTATGTGTCTACATACCTAACACTTAAATTTACATTCGTGTTAAATCTATCATCTTGATTTTTGCACATCACGTTCACTTTTGTGATCCTATATCGAATTGAATTCTCATATAAATTCTCTATATGCATTTGCCAGGTAAATCCGTTTGCGGTCAGGATGTCGAATACTCATGAAGCTACTTTGGAGTGGACGAAATGGACGATATCAATCTTCGCATCTGTGAGATCTATTTAAAACAGCTCAACTTTTCCTTTAAAATCCTTCCTCACCTTTAAATTCTTAATCCAAATTTTGAAAATTTAAAATTGTTATAATTCAAATCCAAATGATCATTAATCAACAAAATAATAAAGAAATAATAAAATTGAAATGATTAAAAGTAATTAAAAGAACATGTGTAACTTTTCCAAGATTGTAAACATATCATTTTCACTATCAAACTTAATAAACGAAATCATTAACTTTTGAAAATTCGACCAACTAGTTCAAATCACTTTAATAAGACAAACCATAACAAATTAAATACACCATGTGTGACCGCCAACTTTGTAAAGGATATGCTAAGTTAAAACTGGCTCTCTCCAAGCCCGAGATGAAATTAGAAACTCTTCTTAGAGAGAAGGAAGAGCTACAGAAGAAATCCAAAGAAAACGCGAGGCTGCTCGCTTCCTCTCAAGCGTAGATAAACTGGTTATAGGAGGAGAAAGCTAAGCTACTCTATGAGCTAAGGGAGAAAAATTCACGTAATTCCTCATTAGAAAGCGAGTTAGCCGATGTGAAGGGACGGCTAAAACCTTGATGGAAGGGCTTGAAGAGCATAAAAGATCAGCGAGACTCCTAGTTGAACACTCTGTTGAGCAAAGGAAGAAGATGGAAGACAAAGCTAATACCTTGAAAAATTTTATATGATTTCTGAAGAAGTCGCAAGTTGAATAAGGAGTTAAAAGAAATATTCACAAGCTTGAAGGAGCAACTTGTAGGAAGGAAAATGCAAGAGGAGTTCCTTCAAGAAATTAAACTGATGTCTGAGTATGAAGAGTTACTGGCAGATCATGATTAGAGGACGATCAAGCAATGCTTAGTACTGAGGTGCAAAAAGAGATCCTTCCTCCTGATAGGGATGATTTGGAACGATACACGCAGCTTCTTGGATGATCTGGTGATGAATAGTAAGATCAAGATGAAACTTCTTCTAACGCTTGATTGTTGCTTTTTCTGTGGTCTTTATGTATGTGTGAGGATATGCGTGTATCCATATTCTTAGTATTTTATTGGTATATTTTTTATCTATATCTGACATTGTAGTGTTCATATATGATCATAGCTTTGCTTCCCGAAGCGTTTGTGGTTTGATTGCATCATTAATGCAAATCCTTTAACTCAAATCTTACAATTTATATCAATGCATTTTAAGTATTGGGTAAGTCACGTTACGGCTCTTGCAGGTGGATTCTGTAACCATTGCCAATGAAGTCCTTGCCTAGAGAAGCACACATTTCTTTTTTTATTATTATTGGTGTCGAGTAATATCAGCAATGGTAATTATAATAAATAATAATAAATATGTCATTATGAGGTTAGGTAAAAAAAGTTAGTAACACTTATCGTGACTCCTCCTTCAAGGCATGTAAATAGGGTGGAGGAGTGACCTGTGAAAAACTCTCAAAGTGGAAGTGGTTAAAACATTTTTATTGAGTGAAGAAAGGAAGATGGATAAAGATGGTGTGATCAGAGGAGTCTATCACAAGAAGGGAAGTAAACTATCCTCGCTGATCCTACTATGTAGGATATAGTCCTTTTGTTTGTTGATATCTGAGTTCAGGGGGTCTTTTGCTCGCTGAATCCAAACATCAGGTTGTTCAAATTTAGTAGGGCTAAGGCTCTCTCTAGGGTCACCGGAGGGGTTTCACTCGATAGATGATAAATGCTTATGAAATTTCACATGCGCATCCCTCTATCTAGGGCTGTCAAAAAAGCTCGTTGTTTGCGAACAGTTCGTGTTCGGTTCGTCAATGAGTTCGTGTTCGATTCGTTCGATAAGTAAACGAGACAAACGCGAACAAATTTTTTTCGTTCGGTTAGTTAAACGAACCAAACACGAACAGTGATGCGTTCGTTCGTGTTCGAATCGTTATTGTTTGAAATATAAAATAATATAAAATAATTATATATAAAAAATTTATTATATTTTAAAACATTAAATTTTATAAATTATAATATATAATAAAATAATAATAATAATATATTAATATACTATAGTAATAGTAATATACTAATATAGATATTGTATATTTATATAATATAAGTTATATAATTAATATATAATATTATTTTTATATAT